GACTGTGTTTAAAAATTATAAATAAGGTGATTATTTTATTATGAATCACTTTATTTAAAATTAATATATCATAGTTAAACCAAGTTTGTCAACTACACATTGTAGCAAATAAACATTAGCTAATTAATAACGGAAAATTGTTAACACCAAATAATTAATTTCTACCATTACGAAATGAAATTTTGATGCGCTAATCATAATTTATTTTTATATTTTGGTAAAGGCTAAAAAAAATGTCGATAGTTAAAATGTTTTTATTACAAAAAATCATATATTCAATTTAATTAAACTTTAAACAAGTTTTAATAATTTTTATTAGCATTTGAACTAGTCTAGTTTGAAACAATTCTTCAATTGTATATATCAATTTTAAAAATCATCCTAATTCAATTACAATTATCATTAAAATATTTTTTATATAGATAATGAATCGTTGTAGCTTATTTTCTTACAACTAAATACGAAAGCAACAAATGTTTTGTTTATCTTAATACATATAGGCATTTTTAAAATGAAAAAAATACATTCTCGATTAAATTTAATAGTGACTTATAGCACACCACAGCAAACATATTTTCCATATTAATAGAATGTATCATGTATTATAAACCACTTAATTATTTAAAAGATAAAAATAATATTGAAAATTTTTGTATTAGCTCCATTTTTTTCTTAATTTATCAATTTAAAAGTATTTTTATGTATATCCTTTATACGTTATAAAGTCGTCAACTTTAATTTTTCAAATGANTTAAACTTACATCAAATTAAAGCTAATACAATATTTTTTAAAAAATATTGTAAATATTTAAAAGTGCTATTCGAATTTATGATTTCTAGGTTTTTTTGACATTAAAATCTAAAATCGTGCAATATTTGGTAAAATTAATATATTTTGAAGAGTTTTACAGAGCAACAGCACATCTACACCATACAAAGCTAAATTAAGTTTTGGGTTTTTCAAAGTACTATAATATGAATGAAAAAGAAAGACGTTACAATAACATGTTTGTTATGAATAATGAGCCTCTAAATTCGATAAAAACGTAATTTTTGGTGAATATAATAAACCAATCTAACTATTTTTATAATTCTTATTAAAGTATCACAAAAGGACTAGAAATAAATAACAATATGCGCCCTTATAGCCAAAACTTTATAAGATTCTTAATAAAAATTACAAAAAAAACTTTTAATATTAAGCACTCGACAAATGTATCTCATCTAACTAGAGTGTGTGGTTATGTGCATAACAGCTGATCGCCCGGTGGTGATGATATCCACTACTACACGCGTAGTAATAGAATAATGTTGAGTGGACTATATGAATTAATATAGAATGATTAATAGCAATTAAATGTATTATACATGAATCATAAAACCTTATATACATCAATTTCGATGGAGGGACACTTAATACTAATGCCACAATGGCGCTAATATAAGCAAATAATAAATTATAAATGCGAGTAAGTCTTAAAAATAATATGAACAAGCATTATACTTATTGACTAATTAAAATAGCTAATGATAATGTTGAATATTGAATGGAACAATTGAAGTTAAATGCAAGTAGTTGACCAGTATGTACAATATGCTACAACAAAAACGAATACAAAATACTATCGGCTCGCAAAACGCCATAGAGCTTACAGCTAAAAATGCTCAGATGGCGGCGGCAATACAGACATAGAGAGAAGAACGACAACAACTCGGTGTAGCACAACGATATCATAAGTAATCATAACATACAATTTCTCTACAGCACATTTGACCGTGTATCAAACAATAACTTTTATTAAATATCGAAAATTTAGTGAAAATCGGAATTAAACTACGTAAAAAATTGATAAACATGGTGTAATCAGAGAATAAATATTATTTTTGATCTCCTGAAAAGTAAGAAAATCTGTATACAATATAAATGGAATAAGCAACACGATAGTTAGAATTTCTTTGCGAGCGTCTACGGTAAATAGTTCTGTGATGGTGTCACGTTACCATTATTGTGAGAATTATTTTAATAAAATACAGATAGCACATCCGGTTCCTGAGACTGACGAATTAACAAATAATATTTATTGCCAAATTGGCAATAGTTATAATTATTATAAAAACCCAAAAGACCTGACCAACGTGGTCAGTCGACTCCAGTTCCTTGTGTTATTCATCAGCCTCAGTACTCGGTTGTCGCTGTCTGGATTACTGCTTAAAGTAAAGTCTTTGTTTATTCCTTTTTAAACCTATCTACTCTCTTCCACAACATTTCAGAGTACTTGTGTCTTGCACTTCGTCTGCACCTCATACCTAGGTGTTACCCTGATTCCCTTCCTGTAACAACAGCCTTTCGACACCCACAGCTAATCCGGAGTGTCAGCTGAGTACGGTGACTGCTGTACGACAACACGCACGTGAATACCTAAACAGCAGGCACCACATCCTCATCTTCGTACACATTTACATTTCATTCTCCACCGTTTCCTTTTTTTTTATTGTGTTACGTCAGTTCTAGATCCCTGAAATTTTGATAAATTTCTGCTAATTCTCAGATATTATAAAAATCAAAATAATAATAAACTTTTATTTTAAATCTCAATCTTTGAAAAATTTTAATATGCAATCAATTGAACTAATAAAAAAATTATTAGATCAAAATTAATTATTTTTTTTATTTCTAACATATTTATTATTTATTCTTCTATTTTATTTTTCTAACATATCACCAAACTAAAAATAGGGGTTTTCCATTAAAGAATATTAAAGTTTAAATTTTTTATCGCTGAAATTGAATTATTACTCAATTTCATAATTTTGTAGTAATTTGAATCAAACAATATTGTCCTTTCCAAAAATTGGAAATATTCAATTGTTTCTGAGATAATAAGTGTCTTATCCTTCATTGAGTACCCTGTATTTGTATTTCTTAATTAAGAGAGTCATTACCTACCTCATTTAGAAGTTTCAGATGTATTATACAATTTTTAATTGGTCTATCAAGTAATTAAAAAATAAAATAAAATAAAAAATGTTGAGCCGAAAAATATTTAATAGGGACAATCGACCCAATGAATCAACATTAGGGGATTATTAAGAAAATCATTACTAATAATTCCCTAACGTATGCTCCTGTATATTCATTAGTTAATTTTTTTCAATAACTGAGCTGGTTAAACTAATTATAAGCAAATTGATTTATGTATAGAAATTTCATATAAAATAATGAAAAAAATACAACTTTCCTCATTTATTCCTCATATTTATTCATAAATATCTCTTATACTCCCCTAGTTTGAATAACACTTGAAATTTCTAAAACTTTTTATTCATGATGTTTTTTGTTGCTTTTGCAATAAAAAATAATTTGTTTATTGAAGCTCAAGTTAGAACCTAACACAGCAAACAACAATATTATATCGTTTAAGTAAAAATGGTATAAGTGTGATTTAAAACAAATATATGTGTTCATTTGAATTGTTTTCAAAAATTTCGTCATAGTTTTAATAATATAACATTAAATAAAAAAAAAAAAAATTGAAAACATTATGTATTTTTAAAATCTTTCCCCAAGCGTTAACTTGCCTGCACTTCCCTAATTTTTATGTTTAACATGTAAATAATTAGTAAATACTAAGTACACAATTAAATTGTGTTAAAATGCTTTTCAATAAATCAGAACATATTTTCGAAATATATTGTTTTTAAACAATGTAATTATTGATTTAAATTTAATAACTGTATTACTCATTTGATTGAAAATAGGGCCACCAATGTAAAAATAAATCTAATAAATTCATAATAACGATTAAAAATAGAAGTAAATTTCAAGATTTTTTACTTCAAGTGTGGTGAAATAAAATTTTATTAATCAAATAATTCATTTTTTTTTAAATTTAATAATTGCATAATATATGACATTTGAACNCATTTTTTTTTAAATTTAATAATGGCATAATATATGACATTTGAACAGCTAAACAAAATTTTAGTTTAAAATAGAGATACTATGAATATAATTTTTAAACATAACATTATACAAATTTAATGTTACTTTTTCAACTTAACTTTTGAAAATGTTTCGGAAGGTCTGACACTTTTATATATATCTTAAATTGAAGCTTATGTAATATCCTTTAATTTGAAAAAAAAAAAATTTGACCTCTGAACTTGTCTTTGTGGTGAAAGTTGACATCAAAGTTAATAAAAAATTACGATTTTTGTAAGATAATTTTTTTTTATATTTTTAACTTAATAATGCTCTAACTTTTTCAAAAATGAACATATCAATATAATTCTTTTTTATATAAATGCTTGATGTCTTTACTTATCATTTGGTATATTTTTTTTGTAAATATGACACTTAACCTGCCCACAGGGGGGATTTAAAATGACAACTTTTTCACAAAAAATTAACTTTTTCAACATAACTTTTCAAAATGTTCCGAAAGGTCTGACACTTTTATATATATCTTAAATTAAAGATAATATAATATACTTTATTATGGAAAAAAAAAATTTGACCTCTGGACTTTTCTTCACGGCGAAAATGGCTACCGAATGCTATTTTCATGTGAAAATTCTCGATTTTATTATTCATATTATATTTAACTTTATAATGCTATAACTTATTGAAAAGTTTATGGATCCACACNTTATATTTAACTTTATAATGCTATAACTTATTGAAAAGTTTATGGAACCACACTATCTTTTTATGAGAAATAATATTTTTTAATAAACCCTTTTTCATTCGACATACTTTATCTTAATCGAGATATTAAGGAATCAGCAGATCAAGTAGCTTTTGGAATAAAACACCAATTTTTTTAAAATTAAACACTATCTAAAGATTTGCATCGAAGCGTTTATTTTTGATAGTGATTTTAATCACTGTCAGATATCATTATACTTGATCCAACTAT